TCACGAGCGGGCATGCAGTGGCTCAGCGCCCTGATCCCCACCCACCACGTTAACGCACTTATATTCTTCTTTATCATCTCCAACCTCACAATCGAGTTCTTCATCTTCATCATCCCCCTGCTGGTTTTCTACCTCTCATTCTTCTCGATGATCATCTGCACACTGCGTGTATTTCAGGTTTGTCACGATGTACTAGACGTATTTAGTGATTTCTGATAATATAGTACCTTTGTTTTATTAAAAAAAACACATTTTTTTTCTACAGAATTCTAAAGCGTGGGAACATTTCCAGGCTCTGACAGACCTGCTTGCTCAGTTTGAACCTGGTCTCGACCTGGAGCAGGCTGAGACCAACTTTGGATGGACGCACTTGGAGCCTTATCTGTAAGTCCACATCACTCAGTTGCCAGTAGTTTAATAATGTAAAGATTAGCTTCAATTTGATCTTTTCTTCCTTTAATATTACCATAAAGAAGAATTGAACTGTTTCTGCAGCAGAACAATTACTTCTTTTTTTTTTGCTTTATCAGGTACTTCCTGCTCTCGGTGGTCTTTGTGGTTTTCTCCTTCCCTGTGGCTGATAAATCCTGGATCCCCTGCTCAGAACTGGCTGCTGTTGCTCTTTTCTTCACCATTACCGCCTTCCTCAGCCTTCATGCCTCAGCTCAGCTCTTCGCTCGTAAAGCCCTCGTCACAGAGGTCCTCTCTGGAGCATGCTCCCTCACTCAATTCTTCCCGGAGTCCCTGTGGTTCCTCCGAATGTTCGGGAAGACTTTCATCACTGTGCCTCTTGGAGATATCGTGGCATTAAACCTGGGGATGCCATGTCTGCTGTATGGACACCTTGTCTATCTCCTCTTCCGTATGGCCCAGCTGAGAGGCTTTAAGGGCACCTATCTGTGCTTGGTGCCCTACTTGGTTTGCTTCACTTGGTGCGAGCTTTGCTTGGTGTTCCTTAATAATGCCTCAGCAATAGGACTCATCCGCACATGTGTGGGCTACTTCCTCTTCCTGTTTGCCCTTCCTATACTTTCACTGGGTATGGCTGCGATGCTCATCATCCAGTTAGTGCAGTGGTTTCTCACCCTGGAGGTCACCAAGATGGTGGTCACACTGACTGTTTGCTTTGTGCCGGTGGTGCTGAGGCTTTGGACTCGCTTCAGCCTCAACCCCATCAAGGTGTTTCGGTCTTTGTCGCGGAGCAGTGTTGTCAAGCTCATCCTGGTTTGGCTCAGTGCTGTGGTGCTCTTCTGCTGGATGTACGTCTACAGGTCTGAGGGCATGAAGGTGTACAACTCCACCCTGACGTGGCCTGAGTACAGCACCCTCTGCGGCCCTCTGGCCTGGAAGGAGTCCAACATGGCCCAAACCCAGATTCTCTGCTCTCATCTGGAAGGACATCGTGTCACTTGGACGGGACGATTCAAATATGTCCGTGTGACCGACATTGAGAACGGGCCGCAGTCGGTTATCAACCTGCTGCCTGTATTTGTAGGGAACTGGATGCGGTGCCTGTACGGTGAGCCATATCCTCTGTGTGATGACTTGAAGAATGCGACCGCTGAGCCCCAGCCTCTGCCCGCCCCAGCTCCTCCTCCTGAAGATCCCCTGTGTAAACTTAAAAAACTGGCAAAGCACGAATGCCACATCAAACGGTTTGACCGATACAAGTTTGAAGTTACAATGGGCATGCCGCTCGAGAGGAAGACCAAGAACGGGACGATCATCGAGGATGAAGACGCCACTAAGGACATAGTACTGCGGGCTAGTAACGAGTTCAAGTCTGTGCTTTTACACTTAAACGCTGGCAGCCTGGTGGAGTTCAGTACCATACTGGAGGGGCATTTAGGCTCCAAATGGCCTGTGTTTGAACTGAAAGCCATTCACTGCATGTCATGCGGCGACGCCCGCCTTCCCAGCCGCAGGCAGTACAAGATTGAACATGACTGGAGGCGTACGGCTCAGAATGCCCTCCAGTTCGGCTTTGACTTCTTCTTCAACCCCTTCCTGACTGCACAGCTCGGACAACACTCAGAGACGGAGACCGAAGCAGAGGTTGTGACAAAGCAGGGAGGATAGACGAGATGGTTGGGGGATAACACTGTCATCAGTGAAGAACACTAATGATTTTTACCCACTGATCTTAAAAGAATCGGACAGCAATATTTTTGAGTGTCTTACTGTAGAAAAGTAGACGGACCTTCAGACATGTGATCTATCTACTGAGTGAGTGAGTGTGTGTTTGCATTCTTATAGCTTTTGAGCCAAAATGTGTGATTACATATAACGAAGAAACAGTTAATGCTAAAAAACAAGAAGCACACAACAATGTGGTTTTTAAGTACTTTACTGCCAAACGCCACATAAGGAAAAACGTCATGTAAACCTCGCTGTGTTCAGCTTGTTGTAAACATTTCATCCGGTTTAATCGAATCCTCTTAAGTATAGTAATGACATAATTTTGATTCATTACTGGATGCTATGCAAACACTACATCTGCAAATCTTTCTGTATGTCGTGACTTTTTGTGGCCAAAACCATCAGTGTTGCTCTTCTGCACTTGCATCGTTGTGTAGCTACCGCTGTTGAAGGCAAGCTTGTCATATAGATATGTTTTGCCTATAATTATTTAACGTACAGTTTGTCCATACAGATTTCAAGTGCCTTCTGAAGCATATTATTTGGGAGCGATTAGACTAAATTAAGTCTCTAAGAGCTCTGCTTCATCAGAGCTTTTATTTATTACAGAACAGTTAACCAGGTTTGGCTTTCTTTACCTTCATGTCTTTCTTCTCTGTATTTGTCGTCATCTCTGCTGTGCAGGGATTTAATATATTGAACATTTGCGATCCCAGAGTGATGATGTGGTTTCAATTAGGTTGTCACTACTTTTTTCTGTACTGTGTCCTATAAATATTTTAAGAAATCAAGTGTGTGTGTGTGTGTGTGTGTGTTGCAGTTTTATTAAAAAATCATTTATATTTTACTGATCTTTAGACACAAAATTCCAACAAGATCCTAGCCCTTCTTATGTAATTTATTGGATTTTTCTTGCGTTAAACACTCACTGGCCACTTTATTAATCATATCTTGCTAGTACCCTGGACCTCCCTTTTGCCTTCAGCACTGCTTTAATTTTTCATGGCACATATTCAGCAAGATTCAGGGAACATTCCTCGGAGAGTTTGATTCATGTTGACGTGACAGCATCATACAGATGCTGCAGATTTGCCGGCTGCACCTCCATAATGTGAATCTCCTGTTCTGCCACATCCCAAAGGTGCTAAGTTTGAGATGATTTGAAGTTTGTCATGTTCATGGAAGTGAACATGGTGTGATATCCTGCTGGAAGAAGCCAACAGAAGACGGGTACACGGTGAGCATAAAGGGATGGACGTGGTCAGCAACGATACTCTGTAAATAAAATGCTATTAATTTTGTAGTAAAGGGCCCAAAGTACTCCAAGAAAATATCCCCCACATCATTACACTCCCATGTCGGGGCAAAAGTGTTCGTGATCTATGTTTTCATCTTAATTACGCCAAATTCTGACACGACCATCTGAATGAAATCAAGACTACAGGTCAGTTAAGGGTTTCCGGTGCTGGTGTCCAGTTTTGGTGAGCCTATGCTTTCTATGTAAAACAATGTTGTGATAGGAGCAGAACCATTTACAATTATTTAGCGCAAGCGCCTTTCCTGCTACAAGTTAATGTGTCCAATTTAAGAAGAGTTTGATTCACACTGGAACAATGAAGACAGTGAACAACACGCAAAATGATTAGATTTTCAGCAGAGACTGAAAGAAAAACTTCTGATATTTATGAAGCGTTAACATGAGTTATTTTTAAATTATGAAGAAATGTATTTTGCTCAGATTAACTGTCATTAAAGCATAAAGTAGATGATTGTGGGGGTTTTAAACTCAAGTTTAGGCAGAGAGAAGAACAAAGATAACCAGACAGAAAAATTGTGCAGAATCATGAAACTTGGTAATTATTTCAATTAAATTAATTCATTATTAAATCATTTTGCAATTTCAATGTAATAAGTGCATAATAACACAAGGTGGCGCCTTACACTACATAACTTGAAAAGCCATATAAAGGGTGCATATTAACAGTTAAGCAATGTTAAGAGCTTCCTAACTAAACGGTAATGAAAATCACAATGATACGCCCATTGGATGCAATTTCGTTGAAATCTTTATTCAGAAAAAAACATATTAACATTATTTATAACTGTTCGTTTGACAATTTTGTCATCAACATACATTAACACAAAAATATGTGGCTTGGTGTGGTAAGGACGTGGAGTAGGCTACAACCGACAGAAAAAAGCAAAAGGAACAAAAAAGGACAGATAAAAGAATTTGCTGTTTTCTAAAAAATAAACACATCAGCAAAGTTATCAGTGAGGAAGGCCGAAGAGATTAAAGTACCATCTCTTTGCTGTAGCTTTGGAGGCAGTCATCAGTACCGATGATCAAGTCTGCAATCCGTTTATGGTTGTTTAAAAACAACGAAACCTCATACATGTCAAAAACCGAGCTGATATATACAGACACCATTTAGGCCCTTAGAATTTTTTTGTCTTTTTTCTTTTAATGTTAATCACAAACATTCCCCATTCTTCTCAGTTTGCAGTTTCACTGAGCAGAAACTGATTTTGTGGACGGCTTCATTCGAAAAGTACGTGTTAAGTGTATGAACCGAACACCGGTAAACATGCTTCAGCGTCCGAAGACACAAATAAATGTAAGGGAGCTCGGTCATCTATGGTTACTCGTGCTGCAAGGGGCCCCCCGGGGGGGCCCCTGAAGCCTTTGTACAAGCTGGATCTAAAATGGTTACGAAGGCAGCCAAGCCAGTCAGTGAGTCAATTTATAAACACCTAGGCTAATCTGTTTGACATGCAGCATTTATCATTTGATTGCTGAAATCATTTCTTTTATAGATTTTTTTTCTTTTTAGTAATATTTTTGCTTGATCTGAGATTAACATGTTTAATGTCAGAGTAGCACACAAAGCAGCCTCAGACCCGAAGCAGAAATCAGAGACGTTCGGGTCCGTTTGAGCAGGGAAAACAAGAATTACTGAAACGCACTGTGGACCATATATGAGCGCGTGTCCTCATGTTAGGCCATGGTGGTATAGTATCATCTGTTAACTTCTGCTTCTATCTGCAGGACTGTAAATGTTTCACGTCGCTGAACGCAGCCCAGGTTTTGGTCGTCTCTCCTGATTCAGGGAGAGCTCAGAGGCGTCTGGTGGGCTTAGGGAGAAGGGGGGGTGGGGTCCCAAGTTCATCCTCGTACATCACGCAAATCACTTTACCTCATCCTCTTTAATTACCATCATCATCATTTAAAAAGAAGTTACATAAAACAGAAGAGGGAAAGCTGATCTGAAATGATGATCTGATCTTAAAACAAACAGCCAGTTATATAAATGCCCCATTTCTCATCAGTGCCGCTGGTAGACAACCACAAAGGGTTTTTGTTACACAAAACAGTGGGCAAGGGATAAGAATAGGATTTGCTTGAGCACACAAATACAGAGAGCAGAGGAGGTGGAGGAGGAGGTGGAAAAAAAGTAAAAGAGCATGAAGAATTTAAAAAAAAAGAAGAAGACGAACATGTAAACGTCTCTCCACTCTGGGGCCGAGGGTGTGATCCCTCCCCTCAGGAAGCCGAGCTGCAGCAACGAACAAACGATCCATCCAGAGGCTAACAATCAGGAAATCCACTGTTCGGACAATTTTGCAATCCATAATCCGTTGTGTAATCCAGCCTGTTCCCTTCCTAGCCCTGCCGAGGGCCTTGCAGTTCTGGAAGGCTGAGGAGGAGGTGAAGGAGGGACGTGAAACGCTGTGTATGAGTTCTGATTGTGTGTGTAGGTATGCGTTTTAGGCATCTCTTGGTTGTGTGACAGTGTGTGTGCATGTCTGATAGTGTGTACATTCTGGCATAGTTGTGTGTTATTGGGTGTAAACTCATTTGTTTTTGCCGCTGACATCCATTCACTAATGCATCTCGGAGTTGAGTTTGTCCTGGAAGATGTAGAGATTGTTAGTGGCAGCGATGGCAATGATGTTCTCGTTCGGGTGCCAAGCCGTATGGAGGATCTTCTTGGTGAAGTCCAGGCTGTCCACACTGATATCATCCTTCCGGCGTTTTCCTCCCGCGGCGCAGACCCTCCGTGGCTTCAGCACCGCCCTGGGTTTGCTGCTCTCCCGTGACGCCTCCAGGGTGACGTCGCGCTTGGTGTTGCGGTCGAACATGCGGAAGAAGTTGTTGTAGGCTCCGGTCATGATAACGCTGTACAGAGCACGAGGATAGGAGAGATCCAGTTACTCTAAAGGCAGTTTTCATGCTTTCATCACATCATTTCTAAGGTAAGCAGATATGGCTAACGGATGGCTGTAAGCTGGAAACACACATCCGTCATCAAACATCAGGTACCTGTCGGAGCCGTTCCAGGCACACTCAAACTTGTCAAAGATGCAGTCGTTCTCGTAGAGAGAGCACAACTTGCTGCGGAGATAATCATGAACCTGTAGGAACACACACAAACAGATATGATTACAATCGAGCCCATCTCACAGCTGCATTACTCCCAGGTATCGACTCTCAGCGTAAACTATAAATAGAAGCAGAAGACACATGAACACACATACCAAGCTCAGCACAATCAAAACACATTAAATATGGGCACGCTGTAACACAATCCTCCCTGAAGGAAACGCTAATAAGACACAACACCAACCTTCAGCAATACAAGGGCCAGGAGTACATTTTAATCTACCCTCCTTTCCATATCACTAAATCCATTAATATCCAGCTCTCTACGGTCGCACCTACCATGGGTGCGATAATAGAGACACACATATATTCTTACACGCACACATACACTGACTTATAACTGCTTTTCCTTGTGCTTTTACTCGACCTGCCTGTGTCAGCACTGTGTCTTCCCAGTGATGCAAGGAGATGAAATCTACACCTCCTCTTCCTCCAGGTCCTGTTCTCTCCATTGAGCCCCCCCAACCTTGCTTTCCACATTTTGCATAAAGTCAGCAGCCAGCAGCCACCTTGCAATCAATAAACAGTCAAACCAAAGTGAAGTTGTCTCACGGTTGTACATCAAAACCAGTGACAATTTTGTTTTTCCCTTTGGCTCTTTCTGCACAGGGGAAAATGATACCGTGTCAGCTTGAGCTGAATATACAGTCCTCTTTCCACCCCCCCAAGTCCACAGGATTTCTGATTTAGAGCATGGTGCCTCATTCCTCATGAATTTGTGCACATTTTTCATGATCCAGGGGGGTACCGGTGTAAATTTACAAAATAGATCCATAGATAAATAAATAATAAGGTAGCTTAGCCTTTAAACCCCCCCCACCACCACCACCACCCACCCCAGCACCCACTTTCTGCCCACATACAATGGATTTGGAATTACTCCGTTTCTTGCATTAATTTGTCATGAAATACAATCTGATCTTTTTCTATATAACAAAATATACACAAATATAAAATTGCTAATGCTAGTGCTGGAGCAATAAAATAATAGAACCTCAAACAAGGAAAACTGAAAGATAAAATGAGGTGAAGCCTGCAAGCTCAGGCAGACAATTCTAGGTGTGCCTCGTCACGCACACCTAACATGCATCACTCTCCTCACATAACAAAGCAAAGATACCCTCCTGGTTTGATGGTCTATTTAAGTTATAAATTTCTCCCTTGACAGGTCCATCCCGCTATTGGCCTGCATCAGTGCTTGCCATTTCAACCCCTCCACAATCCCTGCATCCACCTTTAGGCTCCAGAGGAATATGTACTCACTTTTCATGTGTATCATTATTTGTGTGGAGTGATAGGCTCAAAGCAAAGACACCACGCTCTGACAATAGTCTTCCCTGACAGATTTCGACTGGAAGATGTCGAAGCAGGTTCGAATCACAATGCTTTTTCTACTCTACACACTTTGGGCTCATGTTTTTGTGATCGTTACACAATGCCCCTTTGTGCTGTGTGTTCTTCCCAAATGGTGTGATCAATCCAAACGCCACTTTCCCAGCAGTGCCATACAGTTTCAAGTTGCCCTTTAATAAATTTCAAATACAAAGAAAGAGGTGTCTTCCTTTGATTTCCTTCTGTGGGCTCAGTTCTCCATAGCATCATAAAACAGACCAGCTTCACCGATTCCTTTCAGCCTTGAGCTGTCTGGGTCTGCCCAGCTTACTATGGAACTAAATTAACCTCAATAAATTTGAACATGTCTTTTCTAAAAGGCATGATTTCCATCAGCTGATGCTGCTGTTAACTCCTGACTCCAATCAACTCTGCTGTTAGCATAGCAGGTGGAATATTTTTTCCAAACAACACCGAGTGTTTAAATAAAGTATTGAACAAAAACAAGAGCAGGATTATTATTCTAGTTAAAATAGAGTCCATATCTGTGACTTAGATGAAGACCTGACCATGTTTTTATACATATTTACGCCTGAATGCAGATATTTTCAGAGGCCACCGTACGCTGCATCCTCTGCAATCCTCCTCTCTAATCCTACCATTTACTCTCTTTTATTCATCTCTCCTCCTCACATCACACCATCTTCATACTCCCTCCCAATTCCTCACCCCTTTTGTCCCTCCTTCCCCCCTTTCTCTGCTGCATTGCAGATCTAGGTGTCAGCCACTGTGGAAGGTATCCCTCCTTCGCGCTTTACTTTATGAGTGGAGGCTCGGGATCCTATAAATAGCTCCAGTGCGTCTCAGCCTCCCACTCCTGGCCGCCTCACAGGCCCTCACACGTCAGGCAGGAACACATACACAAACACGCATGTTCACCCACAGGCCTGAGGCAGGAATACTAAACACATACTGGAAAAAAACAGGAGCTGATAAATAGTTTTAGTGCCTATAAATGCATAACCAGAAGCTAGCGTGGCCACTTAGAAGTGACACAGGAGAAAAATTGAGCATGTATGTGTAAATAATAGCACGCGTAAATATTAAAAAGCTTATTATTTCACGTGTATATCAACACAGCATTTTTAAGCCCCTGTAAATTAACTCCCACATACACAACATACTGATAATTTACGGTTTTAATTTGGGTTTATTCATTTCTTTGACATACGAAGAGATTAGGATCTTACATTAAAAAACGTCGTGAGGATTCTGCATCAGTGAGGGGAAGTGCATTTTCTGGCTTGAAAATCAACTCAATTATCCTTAAAAGGTTTGGGAAAAAATCGAATCATCTGTAAGCACTGTGATTGTAAGAGACAATCTTACGCTCATGACTCATTTTGTTCTCCGATCTTGTATTTCTTCCATAACGACAATGCCCTCTTTCAGTAAACCGTTAGTCACCTCACCATTTGGACAACACAACTGGGATTTTGGTCAGTGGTAATGATGACAGTTGATAGTTTGGTGCTGGGTTTCTTAGTAACACCACCCACTACAGCATAGGTGTCAAACTCTGGCCCGTGGGCCAAATTTGGCCCGCAGCCTCATTACATTTGGCCTGCGAAGCCATACCAGATTATTATTAGAGCTGGCCTACTGGTATTATACAGCTAATATATATATTGTTTAGTATTAAGCTTTGCTTGTTCCATATTCGGTTTTCCAGCAAAACTTATTTGAGTCCATAAGAAAAGATTCATTCTTATATCTGGAGGAAGATTTTTTTTTCAATAAATATTAATGTTAGCCCGCGACTTTGTTCCAGTTTTGAATTTTGGCCCACTGTGTATTTGAGTTTGACACCCCTGCACTACAGTAACAGGTTCAGGCCTTTTTTTTCCTTCTTTTTTTTTTTAATATTACCTAAGTAATGAAGAAAAAGAAAGGAATTTTCCCCATTTGATGCCTCGATGAGAGTTTAGAGAGTTTTGCACATATCAGTACAGAGTAAGGTAAAGATGTGCAAAAAAAATGGGATGCCAGTAAAGCCAGTGTTGGGAAGGTTACTTTTAAAATGTATTCCATTACAGAATACAGAATACATGCCCCAAAATGTATTCTGTAACGTATTCCGTTACGTTACTCAAT